AAGTAGCGCCATCTATGGGTGGTGCACAGTACTACAACATGAGTAAGCATTTCCCTATTAAAGATCCCCTAGCCTGGTCGAGACTTATTCCACAGTCGTGCTTGCGTGTAAAGGTTTTGACAAGTCTTGGCCCGCCCGCCAAAAAAGTGAAAATACAGTTAACTGTGGGTGAATATGGATTAATAAAAACTTTGTATGTATTTGCACTCGAAATCCTAATTTGTGTGTGGAGGGCGCAGCAGAATTATGCGGAAATTTAATAAATTTGGGTTTTCGGACAATTTTCAGATCACTTAAAGTTCACATGAAGAAAGAAAAAAGAAACAAGAGTTAGGAAGAAAGTTACTCTAGATGATCACATAAAAAAAATAATTCGCCAGAAAGTGCATTGTTTTTTTTTAAATGAAATGCCAACCCTAAATTAAATCAAGGCTGCAGTAAAGAATTATCAGTCTTTACCCAAAATATCATTTGGAGTTTTAAAGCAAACATTACGCAATTTAAACTTCCGGTATTTAAAGCGAAACCGCAAAAGCTTTTTAATCGAAAAAGTTGAGATTTTGTTGTGGCGAAGAACATTTTTAAAAGAAATACATGACCATATGCTTGAAGTAAAAAAATTATATACTGACGAGACATGGTTAAATGGGAGATACACCCGATCAAACGTATGGCAGGACTTAAATATAACAAGTTTCCGTCAAGCATTTCTTGACGGGTATTCCATAGGTTTGAAATCACCTTCCGGTAAGGGCCGTCGACTGTTTATTACCCACATAGGTAGTAATTCTAGATTTTGGCGGAGGTCTTAACTTTTTCGAATATTGGAAGACTGGCGACTATCATAAAGACATGAACTCTGACGTTTCTGAAAAGTGGTTTTCGTCCGTGTTGGTGCGCGCGGAGTTCGGTTCGGTAATCGTAATAGATAATTCGCCGTATCACAGAACATATAGTTAAAGTTACTTGATATTGAGGTCTATTCTGTAACAATTCCTTTATATTTAACGGCCTTTAAAAATATTTTCTTCTTTACTTCTGTCATTATTTAAACGGATCTTTAAAATACATTAGAGGACTATCTTAAAGAAATCTGTTTAAATAATGACAGAAGTAAATTAACGAATACGAACATATTTTTATAGGCCGCCAATATTTTTAAAGGCCGTTAAATATAAAGGAATTGTTACAGAATAGACCCCATTATCCGTGTACATAAAGACTGGTATATTAAATATGTTGTGAATGAAATGGCGCATAAACATGGAGTTACTCTATTGTGATTACCGCCATATCATTGTGAACTCAATCCAATTAAGCTTATATGAGCTCAGATAAAAGGTGAAGTTGCGAGCAAAAACACAAAATTTAAATTAAAAGACGTTAAAGTTCTGTTAAACGAAGCGATTGATGGCGTAACATCAGATAACTGTCAGAACATGTCATAAAACAAGAACAAAAAATTTGAGACTTTGATACTTACGTCGAAGTTACAGTTAAACCTCTTATTATCACTCTTGGTTCATATTTTATCTGTTGTTTTGAATTCCAAAATGTTTTTATATTTTTCAGAACAAGCACTAAAAAAATACTATAAAATATACTGAAACAATTTTATTTTCAAATAACTGATCTAAACTTTTATTTTAATATTATAAAAAGTCATTAACATTCTGTCACTAGAGTTAGAATTAAATGCGCGTAAAATACATAAGAGGCAAGTGTTCCTTTAATCTCAAGGACTACATTCAATAGTGGCCATGGAGCCTATGAATATGCCAAGGAAAGTCATTTCTAAAGATTCAAAAATTGTTTCCATTCAGTGGAATCAGGGTAATCGATATTTAAAGAGAAATGCATATTTCCACGTTTTTAAGATTATAACTGCATACTTCCTTTTAATTTTTTTCAAGAGAATACATGATTAAATTAAGCAACGCCCTCTCGCATGTACGTTACTTATTAGATTTGTTCAAATTTATAAATATTTCATTTCATTAAAAGAGTTGTTTTCAAAAAGACCAAGTTTACAAAATTCGTTTAAGCAGAACCGGAGTTACAGGTGTTTGTTCAAATCACGGTTGCCACTTCCCCCCTATCTCTTATATAATGACAAGATAGGAGAATATTATTTTAGACAAAAATACGTAGGCGCAATTTTCTTGAAATTATTAGAAGACGAAATTTTGTATGAAATAAGCATTTTACTATTTGGTATTTAGTTACAGTCGTCCTACGATTCTATAAATTAATTCCGGGTTTTTCACTGAATTTTTTTCTCGAAAGCTCTACTGTTCGCTCCGTGCGAAGTCATGGAAAGGGAAGCAAAAGCGATACTAGCGCTAGCTGCGGATAATTCGTGCATTTTAGGGCGATATTTTGTAATTTTGGCATATCAAATACACGTATACATTTTACTTTTTTTTCAAAAAAAGTAGGTAAAAACAATACAATAAGCAACCGGAGTTGCTGTGTTGAAAATTGTACAAATACTAGCAAAAAAAAACAGTGAAACTTATATAAAGAATTTCAGTAGCAAAGTAGAAATTAAATCAAAGAAATAAATGGATAGGTATACAATAAGAATAAAAATTACCTCTATTTTTGTAATAATAACAGTAATGCTACAAATAGTAGACATCAGAAACTTGAAGGTTTTAAATAAACAACAAATTATCATTTTATGATGTTCTTTGATATCCCTTTATTCTTAAATGTTCATTCAGCAAGGACTAGATTTCAAGATTTCTGCCTTTGAATACCCAGCAAACCATTCTGTTACATGTTCCCTCCTGTTACATAACTAAGAAGGATAAAATATACTTAGACTGTCTTGTATGCACTTTTATGTGTTATTTATGGAACCGAACACCTAAGTTCAAACTTAGCACCGTAGTTATATACCATGTATATAATTATAATATATGTTACAAAAATTACATATCCGTTATATAAATTTCCTCACATAAAGATTATATCAATTTATATATCTATATGTAATCTACATTAAAGTAACAATTTGTACTAAATTATTTCGTACAAAATGTTACATAGCGTATATATACATAAATGCTGTTGACCAAACGGTCCTTGAAATACGCATGTTTTTTAGGTAGGTAAGTAGGTATATCTGGTGCATTATTTTTAGTAGCGTTTCAATGTTCAATGGCGGCTATAGGCGTTTTATGGAGGTACCTGTGGCATTTTTGGATTTTTGTGAACAATAGCAGGTATGTTGTGTTTTTATAATGGAATTAAGTTATTATATGTGTGTGCTGTATTTCGATGATTAATTTGAGGTGTAAATATTAATTTTTGTTCTCTTTTCAGGTCTTGCTTTATGGGGCCCTGAATTTTGAGGTCGTGGATCGTCGTTAATGGCAGATATTTTGTAATTTTTATGATGAATTTGGGTTATATTTGTGTGCAATATTTTTTTTAATACATTTTTGGTATCGGTTATGAATTTGACCAATAAAATTATTGATATACCTAACAAATACGTTTAAATTACTTTTCTTTATCCACCAAATATTTTCGACTTTTTTTTGTAAGTATTTGTCATACAGTGTGTCTACTTAAGTTGGAACCAAATGGAAAACTTTTTTATTATTGGTGTTGTGAAAAAATGTATTCTTGATAAAAAGTTCTGAATGGCCCAAAACTTAAAATCAGATATCAATTTTTTTAAGCACTATACGAGGTTTGCCAAAAAATATTAATTTTACTCAAGAGTAAAGTACTTTTATATTTTACAATATAGAAGAATGTTATGAAGTAAAGTTAACCTGAATTTTCATGCTAAATGACTGTAATTGTATATTTGAATATAACTTTTAATTCAAAATAACTTTACTTTATAATTTTCTTCTGTATTGTAAAAAATAAAGGTACTTTACTCTTGAGTAAAATTCATATTTTTAGACAAACCTCGTATACAGCTTAAATAAATTAATATCTGATGATTGCATTTTACGTTTTGGTCCATTCAGAACTTTTTATCAAGAATATATTTTTTCACAAAACCAATAACAAAAAAGTTTTCCATATGGTTCCAACTTAACTAATACCTACATTTTGAGACGACACATTTACATACCTTCATTTATATAACATTTATAATATTCATGTTACATGAAAAAAGTAATGTATATGTGCTGTAATAATGAAGCATATTAAATGTTACAATGGTAATATAAATGTTACATGTCTTTTGATATATAACATTGTTCCTTACATGTACTTAACACATTACATCATATATAAGAAACCTGCTATATAACAAAATTAGGTCATTTTTCACAGTAATCACGTGAGTTATTATGTAACATGTTAGTTACTTTGTTATGTAACACGGAACTAGTATATGTAAATGATACATAAAAGTTACATGTTTGTGTTTGCTGGGTATTATATGTGGCTGTAATGCAATTTTGTAACTTACTGATGGGAACCAGTTTTAATCATTCATTCTATGTTTTCTTTAGTAAACAAAAATGAAAATATAAATAACGATCCTTTTTTTATACATTTTAATTTCACACTATTATTAAATGGTATTTTTTTATTTTGACAGAATAGGCTAATTCTTCAATGACAACTTATTAGACTTAGGCAACTTCTCATACATTTTCCAGTAAATACTATTGCCTGCCTATTTTATTATTGATTTTTATTGATTATACATAATTTTCTTAACTTTAAGCGATAAAAATATGTAATAATAATAAATTAATGTTTTACTTGTTTTACAAATCCATATACTTTAATTAAAACTAACATATATACTTTTTAATAACGAATTCTATTAAAAATTGTATTTGTCAGTATACGCATAAATAGTCCATTAGTACCAAAACGAATTGGCGCTGCTGTCACGCACGGAGCGTTGAGATATGACTAGAAGCCATTCAAAAATGTATTCATATTTTTAATTACTGACTTCAATCCCAGTAAAGAAAGTTTAAAATGTAATTTAATTTTTGTCTTTGTATTTTTAGAGGAGAAAGTACTTAACAGATCTGGCAATAAAATATCAAAAACTATTGATTAAGCAAGACAAAATAGAAGTGCAAACGAAAATAGACCAACCAGTAAAAAAAGTGAGTATCCATAATATTTAGTAATTTTATGATTATACTGCAATGTTATATCGTGGTAACCAATCTCTGTTTATGGTTGTTAAGGGAGTCATAACGGGTTAGCCGGGTAAAACTTTTAACAACAGTTATGACTGAACTGTCAGTTGTAGCCAAAGGTTGTAACTGATATTTTAAGTCACATTCGGAAGCTTGTAATGATAAAATTTTATTTCATGTTAGGTTGTAAAACGTAGTAAATTGCAATATATCATAAAACGTACAATACACGCCCGTTACCTGATCTCTACGTGCTTGCATGGTCGTATAACTGGCTGGCAGGTAAAGATCTATGTAAAGAGCTTATATCGTAAACTACTATTAACTAGTGCTGTTACTTCCTTATTGATATTTAGTCATTTGCGGAACGAGGATAACGCGGTGACGTAACTAGGATGGGGCCAAGGTGCTGACCTCCCTCCGAGTTGTGTTTAGTCCCCTGGGTATAATTAAAATTTCTACTACAACATAATGTTTTTTCTCACCTAATATGTCTTGATATTTTATAATTTCACATTGCTCATCTTCATATTTCAAATGGATTTCTAAATTAAAAACATTTGACACATCGCGTTCATTTTCTCATGTATTTTTAATGGTCGACCGGCACACTGTGTTGTCGTTTTCTTAATAGCTGTGACAGGTTCGGCACAGAAGTAGTCATTGTTGCCAATAACAACCAACAAAGACATTACAACATAGAGACAAAATGTTTAATTCATAAATCCCATACAATTGCGGACTGTTATTGTTTTAAAATTGTTAGTGAGTGGAAAAGAGAAAGACAGATCTCTTAGGACCGGCTGGCAACGTTGTAAACAGTGTCCATAATATGCTCGCCAGTGGCGTAGAGTTTTAAACTTACCAGTATTGTTCGGAGTAGTATGTTAAAAAATACGTAAATAAGTAGGTATAATTTTTTAGTAATATAATTATGATGATTTTTTCATGTAGGTAAATTCAAGTACAAGTAAATTCAAATACAAGAAAATTTTAGTTACCTTCCGATTTTTTATATTTATAGTTATTATTTACAGTTTATTGGCATTTACTATATATTTGCCTGGTTATGTTATGCTGGGAATGGGGTGTTAATACACTGCGACCTAAAAGATCTATTGTGTCCCTTTCTGTCGCCAATGCACCAAGGAAATGTCTCAATGCCTATAACGACCCTTCCAATCCTATTTTCTCAAGGAAGTGAAGGATTTGAAGTGGCTTCAAGTTAGGTAAACCTCCCTCTTCTATTTGATATCCTCCTATATATAGTGCCCTTAGATTCTGGAGTGCTACACATTCAGTTAGGATGTGAATGGAGGTTTCGTCCCCCTCCTCCTCACAGAATCTGCACTCACTATCTACTACTTTCAGTTTACTTAGGTGTCCTTTTAGTCGGTAATGCCCGGTAAGGATCCCTGTTACAATACGTATCCTGTTCTTGCTCAGGCAGATGCAGGATTTCGATCTTTTCTGGTTATATTCACCCAGAAGTATCTCGGCCTGTCTTAGCCCCAAGAGATTGTTCCAATTATCGGTTCTTCTACTATTTGCCTGGTATGATGTTAACCAAAATTATTTAAAATTTTAAATTAACATTAAGTAGGTAGGGGTATCTAAATAAAACACTGTCCTAAATATATATAATTTTTTAATTAATAATTACAAAAAAACATGGTATGGCAAAAAATATCGTAAAAAAACTAAAAATTTTTAAAATAACATTTTAAATATATTGAATACCTTAATTTTATTAACTAAAATTTCATTAAATTTTTTTATGCTTAGTTATTAGTGTTATTACTTACTACAATGTTTTTTTGCAGCAGGTGGTGTTCCAAAAACAGTTGGATCAGAACTAAAAACCCATACATTAGATATACATACATAATTTGGTTAAAAACATATTTTTATTTATATAATATAAAATTATAGTTGTTATAGGATACATCAAATTTTATTTTTCGAAAGTAATTTCTCCAAATAATTTTTACAGGCTGATAAAACCGGTAAAGACGCAATAAACAAGAATCTGGTGGGAATAATGATTTGCCACATAAAAATGTAAACAATTTTGTCTCTTAGTTGTAATGTCTTTGGTTCATCCTCTTGTTCACATTTTTTTAAATCCTTGATTTTTGAGCTTGATTTTTGCCAAAAATTTCAAGTTGATATTATTTTTCGTTTATGAGTTAGGTTTTTTTAATATTTCAAACTAACATCTCATTTTTATTTAGTTTTTTTTTTTTAATCAATAGGCTTCATTTTTCCTGAAGATTTCAATTTGATATCGTTTTTTGTTTCTGAATTAGGATTTTGTTTTTAATATTTGAACTAGGTGAGGGCAAAATAATCGATTAATAATCCATTATATATTTTTTTAATCGACAATCGATTATTTTCGATTATGGATTATTTTGGAATAATAGATTACTTGATTATTTTCGAATAATCGATTACTTGACTATTTTTAATTTATCGATTATTTTCGATTAATCGATTATTTTCTATTCATCGATTACTTTCAATTAATCGATTATTTTAAATAATCGATAATCGATTATTAATTTTAATAATCGCCCAGCCCTAATTTCAACTCCCCTTAACCCCCATTTTTATTCAGAATCAATACGCTTCATTGTCTTGTAGAGCTTGATTTTTGCTAAAAATTTCATGTTGATATTGCTTTTCATTTTTATTTGACTTTTGTTTAATATGTCAACTCCTTTAAACCCCCCCATTTTAATTTGGATTTTTTCAAAATCAATAGGTTTCATCTTCTTATAGAGCTTGATTTTTACTAAAAGTTCCATGGTCGATATCGCTTTTCGTTTTTGATTTGATTTTTTTTATTTCTACCCCTTAACCCCCATTTTGAATTATATTTTTTCAAAATCAATAGGCTTATAGAGCTCGAGTTTGCTAAAAATTTCAAGTTTTTGATTAAGTATTTTTTTTTATTTTTATCCCCCCCCCCCTTAGCCACCCTATTTTTGTTTAGAATTTTTTCAAAATCATTAGACATCGTCCCCTTATATAGCTTGATTTTTCCTGAAATTTTGAAATTGATATCATTTTCAGTTTTTGAGTTAGGATTTTTTTTTACTATTTCTACCCTCTTAACCCCCCTATTTTTATTCAGATTTTTTTTCAATAAGCTTCGTCGCCTTTTGACTTATCGTGCGGACAGAAAACGTGACATCGGACGGACGTGTGGACGGACAGACGGACGGATGAAGCGAATGCATAATTCTCTTCACAGACTACTGTGTGAAGAGTGTAATAATAAGATCCGTCCCTTCTCCTGCACAAGTCGCTCAGTAGAATTCATGGGTTGAAATTCATTCATTCGTAAGGGGGTGTCTATTAGGGAGAGTATTATTATTGTTATTAGTCAATCATAATTCATATGGATTTCATATATCGAAGGTTGGAAAAAAAATAACTATTTCCAATTTTTTTATTGATAAAACTATAGCTTGTCAATAATAGCTACTAAATAAAAATAAAGAAAATCAGTTCACAAACAGAAGAGAAAATAGTATTTTATCTTTGCCTATTTATATAAAGATATATTTAATTGTTATTTATTTGGTTTAGGGTTTCACCGGGGTGAGTTTAAGAATATTTAAAATGTTATTTTACTTGTTTGGTAAGCAATATATGTATTAAATTTACCTGATTGACATATATATCAACTCTTTTCTGTTGTTCATATGCCTGTATGTAATCCAGTGTCCACTCTTTACATACTATGTCTATATGTTATATATACTAACTATTGTGATTTGTCAATAAAATGTTTTTTCTTTTAACGTCACTCATAAGATTTGTTCTCCTGCATATTTAACAGGTTATGAGCCAAGCAGGCAAATAATTATAGTAAAAACGTTATTTTAAACATAATTGCTATCCATATTACCCATAAAAATGAGTAGTGCTCAATTAGTCATTGAGAAGCTGGAAGGTGTTTCCAACTGGCAGACCTGGAGTTTTGCAATGAAACATTACCTCAAGCAAGAAAAATTATGGAAAGTCGTAGAAGGATCTATGAATGATAAAGATCCTGATTGGAAAAATAGGGACGATTTGGATGAACTAGCTCTAGCGAAAATTGTTCTTCTAATTAAACCACATCTATATTCTCATGTAGAATCTGCTGCCAGTTCCAAGGAAGCATGGGATATTTTGTCAAAAACACTAGGAGATCGTGGGCTTATTGGCAGGTTAAATGTGTTACGACAGCTCTTTTCAGTTAAACTTAATAATTACAGAAATATGTCCGAGTATGTAACTGATATTGCAAGTTTAACACAAAAGCTAGCGAATATGGGCCATTCACTTGAATCCGAATTTGTTGCTGTAATATATCTTAGTGGTTTACCTAAATATTACGACCCATTTATAATGGGCCTTGAATCATCTTCAAACAAATTAAATTCTGAAGACATTAGACAAAGACTTCTGAATATGGAATTTAGATTAGATAATCAATCTGATAATACCACGGTTTTTTATGGAACTAAAAAGAGTAACTATCAGGAAAACCAGAATAATAATCAAGACAAAACTCATAATAAGTATAAGAAGAAGTACAAATGTAATATTTGTAAGAAATGGGGTGATCATAAAAAGGGGGATTGTCCACAGAAGTACGATGACTCTTCACAGAACAAAAACCACCCAAGTTCATCTAATAGCAGATCAAATGTTCAAGCTTTTATGACTTCAGCTGATTCTCAGTATGTTTTAATGGCTAATATGAATAAGAGATATGATCGTGAGTGGTTTATAGATTCAGGTTGTTCTATGCATATGTCTCTTTACAATGATTGGATGGATAATTTTAATTCTAATACTCCTTCTACTGAAGTAATTTGTGCAAATAAAGAAACGATTTTTTCTCAAGGTACAGGTGATATTCCAATACTTACTGAAACTGGTATTAAATGTGCTATTAATACTTTGCACGTACCAGAATTATCCACAAATCTTTTATCTGTTAGTAAAATGACAGATAGAGATTTAATTTGTGTTTTTGATAATAAAGAGTGCAGAATTTACAATAAAAATGATATTCAAATTTTTGGTAAAGAATGTGCCACATCCAGTAGATTTAATGGCATATATAAATTAAATACCATTTCTACTTTAAATTCAGAAATTAATTATAATTCTGAATTTGTTCATACTGCTAATATAACTTGTTCAAAAATATGGCATAAGCGTTTAGGTCATTTAAATAGCAAAAGTATGAATAAATTAAAAGAACTTGTAAAAGGTATAAATGTTAAAGGAACTTTTAATGACCCCTGTGTTAGCTGTTTAAAGGGAAAGCAAACAAAACAACCATTTAATAAATCTAGTTCAAGGACAAAAGAAGTCTTAGGGCTTGTTCACTCTGATTTAGCAGGTCCGATGGAAACTCAGTCCATTGGAGGTTGTCGTTATATGCTTATATTCGTAGATGATTTTTCAAGAAAAATATTTATATATTTTTTAAAACATAAATATGAAGTTCTTGAAAAATTCAAAATTTTTAAAGCCATGGTAGAAAACGAAACTAATAAGAAAATTAAAATTCTTAGGTCTGATAATGGCGGCGAATACATAAGTAATAATTTTAACGATTTTCTAAGTGAACATGGAATTAAACATAATGTGACAATTCCAATGACTCCTGAACTTAATGGTGTAGCTGAGAGAGCGATTCGTTCCATTTGCGATAAAGCAAGGTGTATGTTAGACGAGGCTGGACTTCAGAAATAATTTTGGACTGAAGCCTGCAATACTGCTGTCTATTTACTTAATCGATCGCCTCATAGTAGTGTTTTAAATGTCACTCCTGAGGAAGCTTGGTCAAAAATTAAACCAGATTTATCAAATCTTAAAATTTTTGGTTGTCGAGCATTTGTCCATAAACCTGACCAACTTCGACAAAAATGGGATACTAAAAGTAATGAATATCTATTTGTAGGATATTGTGAAGACTCCGTAGGATATAGAGTATACAAAGATGGTAAAGTGACGCGTGCTAGAGATGTCAATTTTCTAGAAAACTCACAACTTTCAGATAATCAGTTGCTAGCTGAAGCTTCAACATCAACTTCGTCTGTTGTCGTAAGCTTGAAGCCTATTCAGCATCAGCGACCTGAACTAAACACTTCTGAAGTGGGTGATGCCGAATCAAAAAGTACCACAGATGTTGACTCTGAAGAAGAAATAGGTTGTAGATATCCTCTTAGAAACCGTTTAAATAATAATCATGTGCATTATACTGACGTTCAAGAGACTCATGATCCTATAACTGTATCTGAAGCTCTTGAAGGGCCCGATAAGGACAAATGGTTACAGGCAATGTCAGAGGAATATAACTCCTTGATTGCTAAAGAAGTTTTTACATTAGTAGATAAGCCTAAAAATGTAAATATAATACCATGTAAATGGGTTTTTAAACAAAAAAGGAATTCCGAAGGCAAAACTTTAAGGTACAAGGCCAGGTTAGTTGCTAAAGGTTTTGTACAAAGGTATGGCATAGACTATGAGGAAACTTTTGCACCCGTAGTAAGACATGAAGTACTAAGAATGCTTATAGGTCTTGCAGCAAAATTAAATCTGAGTATAGACCATATGGATGTACAAACGGCTTTTCTAAATGGCGAACTTACCGAAACGGTTTATATGCAACAGCCTGAAGCTTTTATACAACCAAATTTAGAACATAAAGTATGTTTTTTAAAGAAAGCTATATATGGCTTAAAACAGGCTTCCAGAATGTGGAATATTAAAGCACATAATATATTGCTAGAGTTAGGTTTAAAACAAAGTAATTACGAGCCTTGCGTTTACTACAAAATTTCTGAAAAGACTATATTTTTTCTCGCACTGTATGTGGATGATTTCTTTTTATTTTGCAATAACGAGAAAGAGAAGCTAACTATTAAGTCAAAGCTAATGTCATTTTTTCATATGAAAGATCTTGGTAGAGCTGAATACTGTTTAGGTATCAGAATTACCTACAATGATTCAGATTCAGGTAATAGCATAAAACTTGACCAAACTCATTATGTCCATGAACTTTTGAAAAAATTTCAAATGGATGAGTGTAAACCCATTCGAACTCCAATGGAATCAAACTTAAAATTGATAAAATTTGATGGAGTATTACCTGATGTACCTTATCAATGTCTCATTGGAAGTCTTATGTACTTATCAATTTGCACTAGACCAGACATTTCATTCGCTGTAAATTATTTAAGCAGGTTTAATAACAGTTTCAGTATAGAGCATTGGAATCATGTAAAAAGAATCCTGCGCTATCTAAAAGGTTCAGCGGATCAAGGATTAGTTTATACATCTAGTGGTTGTGATCTTACAGGTTTCATAGACGCAGATTGGGGGTCTGACATCGAAGATAGGAAATCTTTAACTGGTTACGTGTTCATGTTTGCTGGTAGCTCGATATCTTGGGGAAGCAAAAAGCAGTCTTCTGTTGCTACATCTAGTACTCAAGCAGAGTATGTTGCGTTATCAGATGGCTTAAAAGAAACCTTATTCCTTCGATGGGTTCTAACAGAACTATATAAAGTAAATGAATCAACCATTATTTACTGTGATAGTCAAAGTGCTATTAAATTGGTAAATAATCCTGTATATCACTCACGGACTAAACATATTCATATTAGACATCATTATGTCCGAGAAGTTGTTTGTTCAAATACAGTACATGCCTACAGATAAAATGGTTGCTGATATTTTTACAAAATCCCAAAGCAGAATTAAATTCGAAAATTGCAAGAGAAGACTTGGTATGACTACAGAGACTGAGCCACTGTCTTAAGCGGGTGTGTTGTTCATATGCCTGTATGTAATCCAGTGTCCACTCTTTACATACTATGTCTATATGTTATATATACTAACTATTGTGATTTGTCAATAAAATGTTTTTTCTTTTAACGTCACTCATAAGATTTGTTCTCCTGCATATTTAACATTTTCAGCTCCCGGAAATTCTTTGTCTACCAATAACGATTAAATTAAAAGTCTGAGGGATGCCTAAAAAGATAAAAAAAATAGTGATTATTTAAAATGTACCCATACACGTATGTTTAAAATCGTTTGTGAATTAATTATACGGCAAGTAATTATTATTATTATTTTTTTTTTTTTTTAATAGGCTACCACTCAATTACAAAACAATATACACGCTGTGGATGTGCAAATTCGAGAAGCTGTTCATATCAAACACAAGTATTCAGATATTTACAAATCTCTTAAAACGGATTCTGATAATTTTGAGGGTAACATTTCAAAAATGGAAGAAGCGCTAGACCAACAGCGAATAGATATAGAGAAGCTTCAAAGAGTAAGTTGGTGTAAAGTAAAAATTGAAACTGCTAGACTTATAATAAAACAACGTCAATTCATTATATTTTATTAAGCTAATAAACGTTTGTTTCAATGAAAAAATATATTTGTGAATATAAAAAAATAGAAATAGATAAAATTAATATCAAAATCACTTTGAAAATACAACAAACAGAGATAAAATGAAATAAATTAATACATACAAATAGAAAGATAATAACATACCTTCTAAAAGTAACACATTTTAAGTAGATAACTGTTTAAAGAGTTGATGATCCCTGAACATAATTAATCTGTCGTTTTCCCCCTTTTTAATATTATGAGGGGTTTTGTAGTTAAAAAGAAAAATATAATTTATTTTTGGAGCTAATAAAAATTTAAACATCTGTTATCAAAGAGGAAAATACATATAGAATTTCATAATCTTAAAACTTTTTCAAACATTATTAATGGTAAATCTTCAAACAATAATTAGATTCTTAAACAAATTTCTTGTTTTTGGTTTTGCAAAAGACTTTTTTGCCTTCTTCGGTTGCCTCTGCCACTTTTCTTTTAGTAGTTTCGAGTAGAATTTCACTATGGAAACCAGGAGAACCATCAATTGATTGCTAACATTTTGATATTTTGGGTCTGGTAAAAGGTCTTGTTAAACTTTCTTCTTGCGTAGCTGTAACCTTTTGGAGAATAAAAATTTAATGTTAGATAAAAACTCTTAATTGAGAATTATATTTGTGAAGGCCGTTTTAATAATATTTTCAAAAGTTCTTGGAATCGTTGTTAACAGAAACATGCAAAAAATATATTATTTTATTCCTAAAATATAAGATATTACGCAATGCACATTCATATAATGTTGTGCTAGAACAATAGTAGGTAGGTACTGGGACAATTTAAAAAAGTAATTTCGAGAAAATCAACTTTTAATGTCATCATTGTTCTTAACTTTTTTATTGCTTAAATTATTAATAATGTCATTTTATATAGTTCGTTGTGATTTGAATAATATACCGGGTGTTCAAATTAAAGTGTTACAATTAAATACCGCTGAAAATATGCATTTTAGAAAAAAAAGTTTCAGACAAAAGTTTTATAGTTTTTTGAGGGAAACATTTTGGCTAAATTAATTTTTTTATAGCTGATCATAATATGGCCATATCGAGGTGAACTTTGTTTTTTTAAATGGGAATCTCATTTTTTTCTTACATATTCTTAAAGTACATAAAAAAATAAGAAACTTTTGAGGGAAATATTTTTTTTATTGGACTTTTACTTTTTGAGTAACAGCTACTTGAAGATGTTGCTGCGCGAAAAAAAAGTTAGCCATATTATGGTTAGCTATGAAAAACGATTTTAGCCAAAAGTTTTTCCCTACAAAACTATAAAACTTTCGTCTGAAACGTTTTTTTTTTTTATAAAAAGCGGTATATAGCTGTAACGCTTTAAGTTGAACACCCGGTATATTATAATGATCTATATCGTCAATGTCATTAGGTGCCGACTTTTTTTTAATAATTATTTTGTAAGATTTCCTTGTTCTAGTAAAAACACATTTAAACACATTTTTGCCTAATTATGTGTTTAATTAAAGGTATATCTCTTTTTTGTTAAAACAGTCTTTGTAGATATTGTTCTATACTTTTTAGATAATTAGAGAAAACAGTAGGACATCTTAAAATATCACCAACAAAAATGTATAATAATGAATTTCATATCTAACGAAAAAAGACATTTTAGGATGCCCTACTAAGTATTAACTTAAAAACTAATTAAAATGTATAATGCAACTGTGCTCAAATAAATGTTTTTATACCTGAGTATAGCACCAGAAATAACATTTTTTAGATCATAATGATTAATAGTCAAAATCCACATTATTTAAGTTGTTCTAGTATTGTTTTAGCATAGCGATATAAACTCCAATAATAAACATTCAATGTTGTTTGGAACTTTTTTTAGTAAATAAAAATACATCAATATTGTGATATTCTTGTTTAGTTTGTTACTTACATAATCACATCGTTACTCTAAATGTATGTCGTTTCATATCTCTGACTCCAAAATAGTAGAACAAAACAGTTATTTATTGTCAACTATGCAATTTTTTTAGGTTATGGATGAAGCCAGCCAAATGAAAAGTTTGGCTCGCAGCATCTTGCTTAAAGAAGAGAAGTCCGCTAACGAAGCTGCTCAAAATAGGGAAAAAGAAGTGACTGAAGGCCGTAGATTGGTTAATGAACGCAAACTTGAGTTAGAAAGACTGGAAAAGAAAATATTTCAAGGTACTCGTATTTAAGCGTAATGAAATAAGTATTAAATATTTCATGTAACCTGGGTTACATATTGAAACTAAGTAGGTAAAACTATTGTAAATTTAAATTAAATAGAAAGGAAGAAATTTAAGTAAAATATTCAAATATTTCTTCTTCTTTCAACTTTTAGCAACTCTGTGTCACATTGCCCCTCCTTAAGAAATAGTTCCTCCTGGAACTAAAACTGAATGATTGTATCTGCAACTGGATTCTCTTTTACAATTTCCAGTTACATGGAAGTAACAAGGGACGGTTTTTATTGAAACCTGGACCCTGGGCGAATGGCTGCAGACCAGTATTCGGACCTCGGAATCTTGGAAGATTACTTCCAGCATGTTTCTAATGATCCTTCACTTTAGCTGGTTGCTCTCTATCCTTGGCATGGCTATTTTCTGTACATTTGACTCCAGTACGTGCTCCCTTAGACTAAGTAATGCTTTCCATACATCATGGTAAGAGAATCGATGTGGATCGATCTAGGAAGGTGTTCTTCGTTATCAAATAGAAAAGATACCGCGATCCGTCTTGAAGTTTCAATGCTTTTCCAGGGGCTGGTTACTGATCTTGAAGTTTTGGCAATCAACCAAACTTCTTCCGGAACACAGATGCCAGACCTCGAGCGTCTTTGATGTTGGCAGAAGTGCTATGGACCACCGAGTAGTCTTTAGGAACCGTGAGCAGATCTTGTTGCTCGTTTGTAACACCATATCTTGCTTTTCCGGTAGCTCCATATGCACCCATAAATTCTTTAAAGACAAGGTCAGGTAATTCTCTGAGCTGGTTTACTTCTTCTTTCTCGTCATGGTTACCCTCAAATAGAGCCAGCCGGTTTTGGGGCACTACCTTCTGCTTACCATTCTGGATCTTACTTATACGGTAAATGAAATCATTGATTTTTTTATTAATGAGGTACGGACCTTCCCAAGACCTTTGAATCTTCGGAGAATAACCCTTTTGTCTTCTTGGGTTAAGGAGCCAGACTTTGTCGCCTTGCTTGAAACATCCTTCTGTGAATTGGGTATCGCATCGCCTCTTCATTCTGTCGCTGGCGATTTGAAGATACGAGCTGACCAATTCATGCATATCGTCCATTCTTCTTCGTAACTGAATCACATAATCTTCACCAGCTACATCTTCTCCAAGTCGGCATCCAAACTTAAGGTCGCACGGTAGTCTCATCTCATGCCCGAACAGGTGGTTGCCCTGTTGATTCATTGACAGCAGATCTATATCCCAATCTCACTGATGGTTGAAAACTACTTTTGGCAGGTATTTGCCACTGGTCTTATTAATTCGCTCTACCATTCTGGTTCCGTAGTTCTGGTTTTCTTCATGCCTAGATTGTTACAGATTCCACGGCAGAGTTGGCTTTCAAAATTTCTGCCTTGGTCACTGTGGATCTCCAAGGGAACTCCAAATCGATAGATAAACTCTTTAATCAACACATCTGCAACAGTTGCGGCCTCTTGATTTGAAATGGTTGCGGCCTCTTGATTTGGAATGGCGTAGACTTCCACCCACTTTGTAAAATAATCCATTACCATCATCATGTATTTTTTATTATTCTCGGTCATGGGGAATGGTCCAGCAATATCTAAGGCAATCCTCTCAAATGGGCTACCGACGTTGTACTACTTCATGGGGGCCTTACTTTTTCGTTGTGGTCCGTTACTCATAGCACAGGTGGTACATTTCTTACACCAATCCTTTACATCATCGGAACTGTTCATCCAGTAAAACCTTTCCCGAAGTTTCTAACGGGTTTTTCTAACACCGAGATGTCCTCCTGATGGACTGTTGTGTAACTGCCGAAGTACTTCGGCTACTCTACTCCTTGGAATGACCAACTGTCTTCTGTTCTCGGAACCATTATCATTTTCAAGTACTCGCTTTAATAAGCCATCTTCCCAAAACCACAGAGCTGGGCTGCAAGAAAGAATGGAGCCAAGAATCAATCGCGCTTGCAACCGAAAGACGTGCTATTCAGTGGTATACGGACGGTTCCAAAACCATATAAGGAACTGGAATAGGAGTGTATGGGCCGAGAACCAAGCACTCCGAAAGCATCTTCCAGGCGAAAATTCACGCCATCGAGAAGTGTATCCAGTTTAACATCGAGAGAAACTATCATAGACAAGAGATTATCATCATGTCCGATAGTCAAGCAGCCATCAAAGCGCTGAGCTCTTACGTAATCAGCTCAAAAATGGTCTGGAGATTCCTAGAACAATTGAATGAGCTAGGCGAGAAAAATAGAGTTACTCTCACTTGGGTCCCGGGATATAACGCGGTACAGGGTAACGAGATTGCAGATAGTCTTGCAAGGAAAGGGGCTCAAACACCCTCTGTAGGACCTGAGCCGTTCTGCGGTATCAGCAGTAACATAATATTAGGAGAGATTAAAAAGGAATTGGGCAGTAGAAGAACCGATAATTGAAACAATCTCTTGGGGCTGAGACAGGCCAAGATACTTCAGGGTGAATATAACCAAAAAAGATCGGAAGCCTGCATCTGCCTGAGCAAGAACAGGCTACGTATTGTAACAGGGATCCTTACCGGGCATTGCCGACTAAAAGGACACCTAAGTAAACTGAGAGTAGTGGAGGATAGTGAGTGCAGATTCTGTGAGGAGGAGGACAAAACCTCCATTCCATCCTAACTGAATGTGTAGCACTCCAGAATCCAAGGGCACTATATCTAGGAGGATATCAAATAGAAGAGGGAGATTTACCTAACTTGAAGTCACTTCAAATCCTACACTTCCTTGAGAAAATAGGATTGGAAGGGTCGCTATAGGCATTGAGACATTTCCTTAGTGCAGTGGCGACAGAAGGGGATACAATAGATCTTTTAGGTCACAGTGTATTAACACCCCATTCTCAACATAACATAACATAACATAAGCCATCTTCCAGTATAAAAGAGTCCCATTAAGCCAAATATGACCTAAGTATTGGAGAGAGATTAGATACTTCTTGCCAAGTAGGTCGACGATTTTCCTCTTTCCATTGTCACATCTTCTTTAAAATGGTATCGTTCTCTTCTTATTGCCTAATTTTAGCAGGGGCCCACTCATCGTTGACTACAGTTGTTCTTAGTAGTCCACTTTCTTTAGATTTCGCTTTGTTGCAGTGAGATCACTCTGCTGGACACGGTCTTCTAGACAAAGAATCGGCATATCTGTGATTTATTTCAGATCGATGTTTAATCTTGAAGTCGTACTCTTTAAGTCGTTCAATCCATCTGGCGATTTGACCCTTTGGGGTTCTTAAATTTCATCAGCCACTTAAAGGCTGCATGAACGGTCCGGATTAAAAATCTTCTTTCGTACAAGTATTGGTAGAAGTGTTCCACGTACTTTACAACTGCCAAGAGTTCTCTTCTTATGACGCAGTAATTTCGTTCAGATTTCGAGAGCACTTTACTAAAATAACCTAGTACTCTTTATTTTCCTTCCTGAATCTGTTAAAGCACTTCTCCAATTCCTACATTACTGGCATCAATATCCAGGATACATTCTCCCTCTGGTAGTGGTTATCCTAATATTGGCGCTGTGTTGTTAAATGTTCCTTTAGTGTTTCCAAGGCAGTTTGGCAGTCTTCATCCCAACAGAATTCTCGTCATGTTAATGGCTTAGCAATATCTGCAAACTTCCTGATGAATCTTCGATAGTACTTACAAAGCTCAAGACAACTTCTTATGTGGTGTTTATCCTTTGGTTGTGGCCACTCTTTGATAGAAGCGACTTTTTCCTTATTTACACTCACGCCATCTTTGCTGACTACATGACCCAGGTAATTAACTTTATTTTGAAATAGTTGGCACTTCTTGGGGTTTAGCATCAGTTGGGTAGCTTAAAGTCTTTTAAAAACATCTAAGTTTTTTAGATGTTTATCAAATGTCGTCTAAATACACCAGGCATGTTTTCCAGTATAACCCTCTCAATACATTTTCCATAAGTCTTTCAAATATCGCGGGGGCATTACATAATCCAAATGGTATAACATTGAATTGCCACAAACCAGATCCGGTGGTAAAAGCTGTCTTTATTTATTAACTGGGTCCATTTCCACCTGACAGTATCCAGACTTTAAGTCTTCCTCCTTTTCCATATGTCGCTAACTTACGTAGACACACTGCATATACATATATTCAAATAAAATATTATTTTAAGGGGGAAAACTTCCGGTTCGACCTGAACCCGAAGGTGCTGAGGAAATACCCGACGAAGACAAATGTCCAACTCCGCCACATCCTTTCGACGTTATTACACATGCATTTGAAGTTTTAAAACAGGCTACAGGTAAAAATCTATATTTATAAAATCGATTGTTAATGTATGGTTTTTACATGGCTTGTATGCATGATACTATAAAAATAAGGTCGAATGATACTACGTCACGGTGGCGTATTGTGGTCCGAAAGGTATCAGCTGATCAAAAATAGCGTGCGAAAATAACTTTTTTCTACACCCACATGGATACTAGTTTATCTATGCACAAACTACAAAACGAAAAAGTATACTATTGCCATTAACTGAACGAATATATTTTATATCCATTCAATGCAGTGAGAACACTGCAAAAAAAATTAAATCCACCAATCACAGTTCATATTTTGGTCACCCGACGACTATTATTTTTAAAATTTTAAATAAATGACAATTCTGTCAAACTAATTGTCAGTATATTTTTTAGTTATTGAACTTAAATATACATTATTTTTGTGTAGAATCGATAAATTATAGCATTTTTATTTTTATTTTTATTTGGTTCACATTTTAAAAAAAAATTAAATTTGAATCAAACTATATGAAAATAATTTAATTACGAGTATTAACACTACAATCCTAAAACTGGCGGTGGAGGTAAATACAAAGTATCTGCCTTTCACGTGAAAAGCCCGGGTTCGAATCTGGGCTGAGGAATATTAATTAGTAAAATTTATAAATTATTTTAAAATAAGGTATTTTGTCTTAGTAACCTAAAATAATTTTTTAAATTTGTAGATTTGTTTTAGTGGGTCGTAGAAAAAATATACTGTACAACTATAGTGGATTGTCCATATCCACTCTCGTTGCACAAACTACTAATAACCTGCTCATGGCCAATCAGATTAATATTCCGTACCACAATAGGTCATGGGCGAATTCGACGATATTTCATCGGCTAAGTATCATACCTCTATAATTTGAAAAACGTGTTTTAACCTTGGATTAAAGAGACCGGAGATGTAACATTATTATTGAATTGACTAATTGTGTTTAATTATAGATATATTTTTTTAATCCAGTACCCATTTTTCTCATTTTTGGTTAAGTTTGCACTGCTCTTTTATTTTTTCTTTTTCACAGCTTTAATTATACAATACTGTTATGCTACAATATGGATCCATTTTTGTGATTTATACTATTTAATTATAATCGTAAGTAACCAACCTATTCTTATATTGTTCCTATTAATTACAGGCCTGAAGATGTCCCTGTGATGCCGAAACTAGTCGATCCTGTATTTATTTTAAATAAAATTGATGTATTTATGTGAGGGGACTGATAAGAGGGTGTTTCCTGTTTTTAATAAACCGTCGAAAAAACGATTTGGACACCGAATTATTTTAAGAAGCGTCTCACTGGTCAACATCTTCACACCGAGTTTTGTTAAAATCGGTTTGTCCGTTTGGACGGTACGATTTTTCAAAGTCGTCCGGAAACCCCTCATACGAAATTTGCCAGAAAAAAATCGAATCTGGGCAGAAATCCGTGTACGTGGTGAGGTATAGAGGGGCAACGAGTATTTAGAAAAAATAATAAAAAAGTTATTTGTTTTTAATAAACCGTCGAAAAACGATAAAGAAATTTTCGAGACGTCATAAAAAAGTGACACTTCACAAGTGACAGGTGACAGGAAACACCCTCTTATCAGTCTTAAGCCTCGACCGGTAATGCATTCTCCCTTCTACCGTGCACCCAATTGGCGGAAAGAGATTTTTAGTGGTTTTTCGCGGTTGCCATGGAAACCGCCAAGCGACGCCGTTTCATTAAAATCGATCTATATTCTGATGCTACTAAACAAAGTACGTCCGTATCACAGAGTTCGGGTCTCCGCCCAGTTCCCCCACTCCGTTAACTTTTCTTTAGTAATTGGCAACATTTGCGCAGGTTAAACACCGGTGTATGTTATATCTCTGGTCTCTTTTATCTAAGGTTTTAACACATGATTTTTCTAAAATGGTATTCGAAAAATTTGAAACAAAGTGCAAAATTCGAATTTTTAAGAAAATTTTTCAAATAAAAGTTGTTTGAGATATCATTTTTGTTCTATACATGATTTCTCTAAAATTGACCGTAATGGAAAATTTGAGGAAAAGTATAAAATTTTATTTGTTCACTTATTTCGTTGGCAATGATGAATATATATAAAAAAATGTTTTGAGTAAGATGTGTGTGAAAAATGTATGTATTTAGTTCATCGTCTTAACGTTTACAGGGATGTTACAATAGGTTTTGCACAAAATAAGCAGAAAAAGCTTAAAAACTAGACAGGAAAGTCATGTCAGATTTTTTATATATATTCATTGCCAATGAAAATACTAAAACATTAACATTTTACTTATTTCCTCAAATTTTTCTATTACGGTCCATTTAAGAGAAATCATATAGAACAAAAACGATAAAGAATGGAAACTTTTATTTGACGAATTTTCTTCTCCAAGCGTAAATAACAGATACATTTTTTAAAGTAGAAAAAACGACGCCCCTATAAAGTACCACCCAGATGCTCCGTCTTTGCACAAAATCTAATCAACTTAATAGAGGATGGATTAAAGCTTAAATTTAAAATTTAGTGGTTTTCTCTTTATCCGTTTTTGAGTAATCGTGGTAGCGTGTAAACACACACACACACACACACACACACACACACACACACACACTCACACGCACACACGCACACACGCACACACTTACACACTCACACACTCACACACTCACACACTCACACACTCACACACACACACTCACACGCACACACACGCACACACTCACACACACACACACACACACGGAAACGGACACGGACACACACGGACACACCCGGACACACACGGACACACACGGACACACGAACGGACACACGGACGGACACACGGACACGGATACACGGACACGGACACACGAACACACACGAACACACACGAACACACACGGACACATACACACGGACACACGGACACACAGACACGCACCTATTGAAAATGTTTTAAAATAAATTTAAAGCAAAGTACCTATGTAGGTATAAATTTAAAGCAAAGTACCTATGTAGGTATAAATGTGAAGTGTGTACCTATAGAAAGGTTTTATAATGAATTTAAAGTAAAGGTGCTTATATAGGAGGCGTTAAAAAATATTAAAATTGCGATACCGATGAAAGGTATGTGCGAGAACCTACAAGAAATGCGTATGAAATGCGATTGTTTGATCCTGACTAGTAAGGTTAAGATAATATAATAAAGTATCCCGCTGATGAGGTAAATGAACCGAAACCACATCGTTTGTAAAAAAATTTTAGAAGTAAATTTAGTTTTCTTGTTGGCGGCGAGTAAATATAAACACATGACACACAGACAACATCGCGAAAATAATCGAAACGAATTCATGGGACCCCAAAACGTAAATTTCCGTCGAAAATTCGAGATCGAAAAAAAATAATGATTCCTATAGTACTCTCCTTCTGTATGCAGATAGAAAAGTAAACATTGTTGCATTCTTGGGGTATAAACCATTCATACAACAACCCATCCTAAATTTTACTAATTCTAATGTTAACATAAGCTTTCTTACAACAGCCCCATTCTCTGACTTGTGCATGGATGCATTCGTAAACTAACCATTGCGCATGTCAGTCCGTTTATTCGTCCGTTGTTAAAACGCAAAATGCCATGGAATTGGTCAAACCAGCCACATGCTTGATGAATAGGTATTTTAATTCTTATTTAAAATACAACATAATACATTTAATTAGCTGTCTGGAACGATCTATTTGAATGTATAATTTTGTAACCTTAAGACGTTTATTTTTATTAAAAATAAGTATATTTATTTTACAAAAAAAAAAAAACGTACACAAGATAAAAGCAAATATATTCACTTCAATTAAAAGAAATAGAAATACAAGCCACCCCAAGATTACTTAAAATCACAACGATAACAAATAGCAAGAGACGCTCAAATGCGCATGTGCTGATCATTTGTACAAATGATGAAGCTCTGATCGTTTTGACAATCTGCTGACACATTCATGTGCGAATCAGAAAGAAAACACGTTGGAAAGTTTTACTGACAGTTTATCGAATTATCCGTGGCTTTGTAGAAACCGACTATTTTCAATGCGCATGCGTCTGACGTCCTTCTGATGATAAGATTAGCTTTTGGAACAAACCTATAGTACAATTATCCTTCCTCCATGTATAGTAAAAATAGGTGGCAGCCTTTGCAAGAAGCATTGGTTTATTTTGACTTACCAGCGGTATCTATACGATATGAAATTACTTTTACAGGTGGTACGAGTACAGAAGAAGTTTTTGAACGATTTCAGTCTCAAAAAGAAACAGATGAAAAATTAATGCATTTGCGTGGAAAAGCCGAAGATGAAAAGAAAAAACTGGAAAAGAAAATGGAAGTTTTAAATCGGAAATTAGATTCGTTTAAATATGCTGAGGCTAAAGATGCAGAAAGGTAAGAAGCAGATTTTTATGATTAGTAACATCTTTGTTTCTTATTACCTACTAAAAATAGTTTGAAGAATCTATAAAAAGTATTAATTAGCTTTTTATTTTAATTACAGGAAAACAGGCGAAATGGATATCATACAATATCAAATTACAGAGAGTATCGAGGAATCTAAAAAATGTGTTGAAAGGAAGAAAAAGAAAGATAAAGCTATTGAAAATCTTTTAACGGACTTGCAAAATCTGTATTTATGCATAAATCCTTTGGCTTTACCTGACACAGAGCCGCTAGTTACTTTAGAGAAAATTAAAAGTAATGTAAAAGCTATTTTTGAAAAAATTGGTTCCGAGGCTGAGATCAAGAAAGAAGACGCAAATGAAGAAAAGGTATATTTATTAAATAATTTGTAGTTTTTCTAATTTGGACATTTTTGTAATCCCAGCAAGTGTCAAAATGGTCTATTTTATGTAATAAGTTAGGGTTTACTTATATTCTCTTATTATTAGTATTTGCATTAGTATTATGATCAAAGATTAAATTGAACACATTGAGATAGAATAAAGGGAAGATGATATGTCGAAGCTAAAGTATCCACACCTTTGCATTACACTTTTACGTCATATATGTGAAACTCGAGATAGTGAAGCTAGTCAGTTTTGCTGAAAATAAATGCAATTTTTGTTAAATAGGTTCATTTAAATGATATAAAATCATTTTCATTTCGTCAGTCTTGAAATATAAAATTATTGACTTCAAAGAAATCAATTTCCTCTTCACAATTTCTACAAAGAAAATCATCTTATGTCGAGAAAAATATTGGATCTATTTAAATAAGAGAAGTATGGATACTTCCGGTTAAATTGAAAGAACAGTAACAACAAAAAAAAAGTTTCATCTATATCAAGATATTTATTTGATTTCATACTTTATCACACTTCTTTATACAAAGTGAAATAAAAGTCTGGATACGCCTAATTTTCTCGAAATGGATTGTCGATAATAATCTACCAAATTTGGGATATGAGAAATTAATTAAATGCCGATTAATATTGCTCGCTTTCACTCTTTATATTGTTTCATGTTCTGTTTCTACGATATGTCACACTTGAGATTTTATTTTTTTTTAATTTTATGTTGCACTTAAAAACTTAAAGTGACCAATATTATCCGTAAATGGAAAATCTGTCAGAATTGAAAGTAACAAAACAGTAATCGCCATATCCTTAAACGCCCCAAATCCCAAATTTAGTAAATTTTTGACAACTCGTTTTCTAGAAACTTCAGTATTTGTATTACAGAGTGGAAATAATTTCTGGAAACATCTTGTCTTCCATTTTTTTTTGTTTCTTTTCTAATAAATCGTTATGCTTATCTATCCCAACCGGATTCAGTTTCAAGGCGTGTGGCTGTAGCAAAGACTATGTGAACAGATTTGATCACCACTGTAGATACTGCCATAGACTTTTCTGCTTGTCTATATAGGCGACTGTAAGACCTCTCTTAAGCTAGCAGGACCAAATGGGCAGAATCGATTAAAATCTATTACATTATTTAGTACCTATTTTGTACTAATTTGTACCACCAATAAAAATTTTGTACCATGTGCCGTTTTCAAAAAAAACGTAGCGCTGCTAGGTTAATATTAAGCTAGCAGGACCACATTAAAAAAATAAAATAAAAAATAAAACAAAGGTAGAATTAAAACGAACTGAATTTGTACCAATTTGTACCATCAATCAATTTTTTGTACTATGTACGGTTTATAAAAAAACACATGGTGCTTCTAGTTTAATATTAAGCTAGCAGGACCACATTAAAAAAATAAAATAAAAAATGAAACAAAAGTAGAATTAAAAAGAACTAAATTTGTACCAATTTGTACCACCAATAAATTTTTCGTACTATGTACCGTTTACAAAAAAAACACAAGGTACTTCTAGTTCAATATTAGGCTAGCAGGATCACATTGAAAAATACAAAGGTACAATTAAAAAGGACTGATTTTGTAACAATATGTACCATTAAAAAAACCCAATTTATTTAATCAAACTGCCTGAAGCAACTTTCAAATTAATCCAAATCTGTTATAATTAAAAATTCGCAGAAAAAGAATCTATTGCTATTTTTGCATAAAACACAACATAATTTGTACCGTTAAAATATAAATTTTCAGAATATGCCCCCTGCCGTTCCTTAGAAACTATCCTAAATTCATATTCCTTTTAAACAGCAAAATCAATCGTTACTTCTGCAATAAAAGTACGTTAAAATGTAAATTGTTAGATTCTGTAACTAACCTAAATTCATATTAGGCTCAAGAGTAAAGTACCCTTTTGCACGAGCAGAATCAGTAGGAAATTAACATAATTTGTACCACTGAAATATGAAATTTCAGATTTTGTACCCCTGCCGTTCCTATAGAAATTAACCTAAATTCATATTAGGCTCAAGAGTAAAGTACCCTTTTGCACGAGCAAAATCAATAGTTACTTTTGCAATGAAAATAACATAATTTGTAACGCTAAAATATGAAATTTCAGATTTTGTACCCCTGCCGTTCCTATATAAATTAACCTAAATTCATATTAGGCTCAAGAGTAAAGTACCCTTTTGCACGAGCAGAATCAGTAGTTACTTCTGCAATGAAACTAACATAATTTGTACCAGTAAAATATAAAATTTCAGATTTTGTACCCCTGCCGTTCCTATAGAAATTAACCTAAATTCATATTAGGCTCAAGAGTAAAGTACCCTTTTGCACAAGCAGAATCAATAGTTACTTTTGCAATAAAAGTAACATAATTTGTACCACTAAAATATGAAATTTCAGATTTTGAACCCCTGCCGTTCCTATAGAAATTAACCTAAATTCATATTAGGCTCAAGAGTAAAGTACTCTTTTGCACGAGCAAAATCAATAGTTACTTTTGCAATAAAAATAACATAATTTGTACCACTAAAATATGAAATTTCAGATTTTGTACCCCTGCCGTTCCTATAGAAATTAACCTAAATTCATATTAGGCTCAAGAGTAAAGTACTCTTTTGTACGAGCAAAATCAATAGTTACTTTTGCAATAAAAATAACATAATTTGTACCACTAAAATATGAAATTTCAGATTTTGTACCCCTGCCGTTCCTCTAGAAACCAACCTAAATTCATATTAGGCTCAAGAGTAAAGTACCCTTTTGCACGAGCAGAATCAATAGTTACTCCTGCAATGAAAGTAACATAATTTGTACCACTAAAATATGAAATTTCAGATTTTGTACCCCTGCCGTTCCTATAGAAACTAACCTAAATTCATATTAGGCTCAAGAGTAAAGTACCCTTTTGCACGAGCAGAATCAGTAGTTAATCCTGCAATGAAATTGACATAATTTGTACCACTAAAATATGAAATTTCTGATTTTGTACCCCTGCCGTTCCTATAGAAATTAACCTAAATTCATATTAGGCTCAGGAGTAAAGTACCCTTTTGCACGAGCAGAATTAATAGTTACTCCTGCAATAAAAGTAACATAATTTGTACCAGTAAAATATAAAATTTCAGATTTTGTACCCCTGCCGTTCCTATAGAAACCAACCTAAATTCATATTAGGCTCAAGAGTAAAGTACCCTTTTGCACGAGCAGAATCAATAGTTACTCCTGCAATGAAAGTAACATAATTTGTACCACTAAAATATGAAATTTCAGATTTTGTACCCCTGCCGTTCCTATAGAAATTAACCTAAATTCATATTAGGCTCAAAAGTGAAGTATCCTTTTGCACGAGCAGAATTAGTAGTTACTCCCATGGGCGTCGTTTGGGGGGGGGCAAGGGGGGGCAGTTGCCCCCCCCTGGCTTTTAGCGACTTAATCAACAACGCGTAAAATTATGCATACGAACAACAATCTCATATAGAAATAATAACATTAAGGCTAATATAGTTGAAGAATATTATAGGTTGAATATATTTATTGAATATCGTCGGTCTAAGATGCAAATGGCCTAACTCCTAAAATATAAATTTTTCAGGAAATGCAAAAAATCTTTTAGACCTAACCTTAATGTAAAGGGGTTATACTAAATGAGTCATGTAATTTTTGGTGCGAATATTTAAAATAGGCTTGACAGGCCATTTCGAATCGACAGTACAGATCTTTAACTAACGGGTAGCCAATAAAACGTATCTTTGGTAAAAAGTGTAGTCAGGCCATTTGCATCTTAGGCCGACGATATCTGGAATCCCTTATTTCGTCACTTACATCACGCTTTTCCGAAGACTGATAATTTTCCTTAAGCCTGCTACATCCCAAAAGCATAAAAACAATACTTTTTTCATTACCGATTAATGAAAGTAGTGGAAAAATTTGGAATCTACAATTTTGAAGTTGAATACCAAACTGGAGTATGAAAGAGCTTTCTACACACAATGAGCTTTTCATTAATGATATAGCATCCAAATATTGTGAATTTTATCCAGACATAAAAAGTGGTTTAAAAAATATTTATGGCTCTTCCACCAACGACAGAGTTAATCGAAAGAACGTTTAGCACGCTAAGGCATGTTAAAACATGGCTGCGATCTATTCGATCAGTGCGAAGTCATGGTATGGAAAGCAAAAGCGATACTAACGCAAGCTGCGGATAATTCGAGTACTTTAGGGCGATATTTTGTAATTTTGGCGTATCAAATACACGTATACATTTTACTTTTTACTAAAAAATAGGTTAAAAACAATAAAATGAGCAACCGGAGTTACTATGTTGCAAATTTTACTAGCAAAAAAACTGTAAATTATATAAATTTTCAGTAGCAAAATCGAAATTAAATCATAAAAATAAATAGACAGCTGTATAATATGAAGAAAAAAACCTTTGTTTTTGTAATAATAACAGTAATATTGGAAATAATAGACATCAGAAAAGGTTTTAAATAAACAATAAATTATTATTTTATGATATTCTTCAACATTCCTTAAGTCTTAAATGTTAAGCAAATGATTTCTGCCTTTAATTATTGTATATGGCTGAAATGCAATCTTATGACTTATTGATAGGAAACCAGTTTTAATCGTTAATTTCTATGGGATCTTTCGAACTAAAAATGAAGAAAATATAAATTACAATCGCAAATATACCAATTATTTTGGTTAATACGTTTTAATTCTACGTTATTATATAATAGTAGTGTTTTTATTTTGACATTATTTGACCTATTCTTCAATGACAACTTATTAGGCTTAGGCAAGATCTCATACATTTTCTCGTAAATATCTACCTATGTTTTATTATTGATTTTTATTAATTATACTACTTTTTTTAGCTGATTTTTTCACTTGTTTTATAAATCCATATACTTTCATTTTGTCTTTTTTTGTTGGATTATTTTATTTATT